GAAATAGGCCATACTTGGGGAACCTCGCGGAACGCTGCAAGTGCTCTCAAAGCTGTCTTTGCATGTTCCGGACAGCCATTGAACTGAGCGTGCCTCATGAGGTGTGATTTATCACTTGGGTCGTAGCGTTGGCCCTCTTTAGTGTGGGGGACCCCTTTGCCCCAAAAAGGCGCAAGGGCAGTGGATCCTCCACAAAGGCCGCCCTTCTTGGGTTGAGGGACGTTTTTTCCACCCGCGATGAAGGCTTAAGGCTTGAGGATTTTGAAAGAAGCTTGGGCAACCGACTTGGAAAAGAACAACTCAGTTCTCTAGGGATAGGCAGGGAGAGAGGGCAGAGAGCCAAGGGCTTAGGGCCTAGGGATCCTTTGCTGGGTTTAGGGAGGGCTTGGGGATGCCGTGGGTTTGGGTGTGATACCCAAGGTAGAAACAAGCCGACAACGCCGACAACCAAAACAAATGAAACCCAACCTGGAAAAACTTCCCTTCATAGAGGACATCCAGGCAGCCCCCGAGATCCTGAATAGCCGCGCATTATAAACTAAAGCGAGTGCAACATTAGAGCATAGAGTAACAGTGTGCTCACAAGCCCCTGTGGCGTCGTGCGTCGTGCGAAATGTCGTGCGAAAGACCACGTTGGTCTAGCCGAGCAAAAGCCCTCTCGCTCTGCATTTGCCAGCAGAGATATACAAGACGGGTCAAGCAGACAGCCAGCCTGAGGGGGCTGCTGGGCGATGTACAGCCGCCAAGCGTAAAGCTCTAAGTTTGGCCCACTTACAAACTTTGAAGCCTGTACGCTGACTGGAAGACATTGGACGATGATCTCCAAGGGCATGTCGTGCTGCTGCGCTCTTAGCACTTGCACTGTCATGTCATCTTCAGGAGTAACTGTATAAGATGTTTTGCGTGAGCCAAACTGGCAAGCGATGCCAAGTTCTCTTGTGGGCAAGTGATGCGTCTCGGAACAGAAAGACAAACCCCAGTGCATCTACGCATGATGCGGAGGAGCCTCGGCCAACGACCGCATGGCAGGCCTCATTCTGGGCATCAGCGCCTACATTTGTACAATAAAGGCAATCGGAAAGACTGGCTCGCTTGGCTCATACAGGTGGAGACCCCGACCAAAGCTGCTCAATGGCGTAGCCAACGGTGTCCTGACCATGGTGTGGGTTGCTCAATCCCGTGCGAGGACCAGCTACTTGTAGCTGGTCGTCCTCACCTGACATAAATATAAGGATTTCGCACGAGTTATGTCGGGAGCGGGAGCCTGGGTGGGAAAAACCTAAAAATCGAAAAGCTTAGTTGAGGTTACCCGGTCGCCCAAAAGCTCCTGGATGACTTGCAGATTAAAGAAGATTGTGACTTAGGGTACTTACCCGATAAACAGAGGGCCTGAGAACTGACCATCTGCCATAATTCTTGACCCAGATACAGCAGCCCCAACGTCCTGGCAAAGCGAAACACGTCGGCAACGTACACTGCGACGATGCGGCCCTGCAGTTGTGCTGATTCGATGTGATTCTGACAGAGCAACATCGAGCGACAACGACGTGAGATGAGGCCGGCTGTCTTGCGGAGCTCCAAGCACTCAGACAACATAGGTGGAAGCGCCTTCAGAGCGATGCACTAGCTCACTCCGCTGGGGGTCTCGCGAGCCACGGCACGGGACACGGCGCGTGCAGCTGGTGACAGCCAACCTGCGCTGCTGGAACTCATCTTCACCATAGGCAGGTGCACGAGACGAACATGCATCTGTGCGCAGGTCAAAAGCATAGTCACTGTTCACAACAATCTCGGAGAGGTTTCATGAACTTCCGGTCCGGTGTCTCGAGAGTCTCGAGAAACCACCCATGTTGGAGTGATAGTTGAAATAGTTTCGGCTTCCGACGGTATATGCGAGTCCTGCTGAAAACATTCAGGTGCCGTCTAGGCATATCGGGCCTTCGAGAGTGGCACCTCTGAGCCGGAGCCGCCAGAAGCAGATCCCGATTGAATAGTGTCGACCAGTCGACATGGTTCTCGATGTTCTCGATGTGCCCCGAAGGCCCCGCACAAACTTTCTAAACATGTCCGAAAAGCTCTCAACCAATCGCACGGCGGGATGCGCTGGCGTTCAGGCATGTCAATCTGGTCCTTCTGTGTCCTTCTTGGAGCAAATAAAAAACACAGTGAATAGAAAAGCACCTCATAGTCGCTTGTCTGAAAGCCGGTCTTCCACTACTTCTGAGGGTGGCGCAATCGCACACGCCGCATGTTCAAATTCAGCACAGCCAAGAGCCGAAGCCCTAGCCCAACCCCCCAAATCAACCTCTTCCCATACAAGCTCGAATATCATCCAACTTACGCCAGGCAAGTGGGAATTTGCCTGCCCAACACAGAAATGGTTGAGTTAACTTTATTGTTGCGCTGCGCGCACTAGCTCAGTTGGATCCCATTACCGCCATACAAGTTAATTCCGGCACTTCTCAGCGCCGCAACAGACAAAGGACAAGATCTCAAACAAGCAGCTTAACACTGAGGCAGCCACCAATTGCCACCCATAACGCAGCTGTTGCCATGGCTGCAATGTGTGCTCCTTCCACGGTCTAAGGTCACTCTGAAGCAGTGTCTGGCAGCTATGTTTTGCCTGGCGGTGGCTGCTTGGTTAGGCTTCCATAAAGAAGCCAACGCCAGCAGCACGATTGCACTGTGACATGTAGTGATGATGTGTCTGCTTCATGGTCGCTTCATGCACCGAGGGGTGAGTGAAAGCACGTCCCCCACTCGAGCAACACCGAACAAGGCGACTGCTTGGAAGTCTGCTCCACAAATTTCTTCCGGATTCCTTCATCACTCTCCCTTGTCGCCCCTTTCCGCACCGCAGTGGATGGTAGCCGTTAACCCACGCTGCCGTGAGGTCAAAAGGAAGCGGCCGGAAATACTTTGCCGCTCGTCGTGTCGTCTGAAATCCAAGCCACCAGCATGATGAGTTAAGTCGCTTGTTCTCCTTTTGATCTTCAGGGTGCTGGTGCGATGAAACTTCAACTATTCCAGCAAGTTTGGGCACTTGGGACAGGTGAAACCAGCCTGGGCATGTCACCCAGCTGAAGGTGGTGAAAAGTTGTATGTTGGTCAAGCTTGTCCAAGGCGTGACAGCGTGGATGGAAAGCTCTTGCAAGATATGATCGACGGATCACCCTGTAGCACGTTGGCTATAAACGCTGCAGCCTTACGACCGTAAGCGAGATAGCTCCCTGCGCAGCCGAGCTCAAGCGCTCATGTATTATGCGTTCCATAGTGGTTTCCACCCTGACACAGCCTTTCGGCCACAAACTATACTCGACCAACAAGACTGACAAGACATCACCTAACGGAAAAAGTTCAGGAAGCCGCTCCATTCGTTTCAGAGGCACCGTTGAGATCACTGGCCAACCCAGTGTCGTCCTGAAATGACAGCTTTCCATGCACAGGCAATTCCGAGCTACCACGCAGCGTGGCAGGGAAATCATCTCAAGTTCTCTTCGTCTCACCCTCCAATAATGCAGCGACTGCTTTGCCCTCATTAAGTCAGAACAGCCCGTGCAAAAAAAAACATGGAACCTCTGGGGGTGAAAAGGGTTTAGGATGCCACCGAAAGCTGGAAAAACAGACTCGGGCGCCCTGTGTTACAATGTTTGCAGATACAAAATTTGCGCGATGCTGCGCCGCAATACCCGCTGTCGGCGAGAAAACTGCAGAGACATACGTACACACCCTCGAGCGAATTTTCCAGGTGGTACACGTCGCGTTTTTGGTTCGTTATCTTGGGAGCAGGAGAAAGGTGCTGATGGGTGGGAGTGCGGGAGCGTCAGAGATGTGAGTGGAGTGGTCAGTTGTCAAACCCTTCGTTGCTCTAGCCCAACCCTTCCAACCCCTCGGGGACCCCCCCCCCCCCACAAACTCCTCCCGTGTCTGAAACCCCCCTCCTCGACCCTCACTGGACCTTCCTCCGGTCCACCCTTAGCTCATTTCTGGGACTTCTCTACAGGACTGGAGCTCTACCTTCACGGCTATCTGCTCTCCGAAAATGCGCCCCGCGTTGGGCCTCCCGGCTGCCGAGGCGGCGCGCTCAAGCGTTTGCGAATAATTCTGCGAGTATGCCACAACCTAGTCTTGCTTCTGCAGCTAGAAGCCTTGACAAAACTTTTCTGTTCAAGAATTATGGTTCACTTTTGTGAGATGTTCAGTCGATGGGAGAACGTGGATTATACTTTTACATTGCTTACGCTCGCCCATGCACCGTATTGCGACATGTAGGGGTTTCTTTGCTGGTCAACATCCATGCGCATTCACAGCCTTGGAACAGTACCTCGGCTTCGGCTTCGCTTTTGTTTGCAGGGGACGCCGCAATTCCATCGCACCGCACTGGTGCCGACGATTCTGGGCCATGGCTGTGGTTCCCTGAGCGTTACCTTCACTGCTCGATGTCTGCAACATAACGCATCTGGGGCCTCGCTACAGCTACAGCATTCGACAGAGATTCGAATACAGTTACAAGACCTCCTGCCGACATGCTTGCGGGCAAATCCTTTCGCTGTGATGACTGCAGGCTGGTCGCCAATGATCGGAGCTTGTCCCGGCGCGAGTCATTGACACCGCTGCTGACCTCTACTTTTCAACGCTCCGTTCTATGCGCTTGTGCTTCACGCCGCAACAGCAGATGCTGAACCGGGCCATGGCAATCTGCATGGACCATGTCCGAACAACTCAGCAAACAATAGGAAGTGCACCCCGAGGTAAGCTTCAATGTGCGCGAGGCTTCGTTTCACTTCGCGACACCTCGGTATCAACGGCACAGATCGAATGCGTGGATTTTGGGGTTACTACTACTACTTCTTCTTCTTCAACAGGAAAGGTTTGTCGGTTATTGCATCCAGCAAGCTTTGCTTAGTAGCAAGCAGAATGCCGTTTCTGGAGTTGCTCACATATGCATGGTTCATTCGTCCGGCTTAGGGCAAGCCTAACACCAGTTCCCTAGAAAGTTT